TATGGAACAACAGAAGACCCTGAATAGCCAAAGGATTCCTGAGAAAAACGAACAATGCTGGAGGTATCATCACACTTCCTGATTTCAAAATATGCTACAAAGCTATAGTAACCAAAACAGCGTGGTACTAGCACAAAAAAAGACACATAGGTCAATGGAACAGAATCAGAAGCCCAGAAATAAACACACACATCTATGGACAGCTAATTTTTGACAAAGGAGCCAAGAACATACAATGGAGAAAGGAAAGTCTCTTCAACAAATGGTGTTGGGAAAACTGGACAGCCACATGCAAAAGAATGAAAGTAGACCATTATCTTACACCATACACCAAAATTAACCCAAAATCGATTAAAGACTTGAATGTAAGACCTGAAACCATGAAACTTCTAGAAGAAAACATAGGAAGTATGCTCTTTTACATTGGTCTTAGCAACATATTTTCAAGTACCATGTCTGACTGGGCAAGAGAAACAATAGAAAAAATAAATAAATGGGACTACATCAAACTAAAAATCTTCTGCACTGCAAAGGAAACCATCAACAAAATGAAAAGACAACCTAACACTTGTGAGAAGATATTTGCAAACCATACATCTGATGAGGGGTTAATCTCAAAAATATATAAAGAACTCATACATCTCAACAACAAAAAAACCAATAAACCAATTAAAAAATGGACAAAACCCCTGAACAGACATTTCTCCAAAGAAGATATACAGATGGTCAACAGGCATATGAAAAGATGTTCAACATCATTACCTATCAGGGAAATGCAAATCAAAACTACAATGAGATATCACCTCATGCCCATCAGAATGGCTATAATTAACGACACAGGAAACAAAAAGTTTTGGAGAGGACGTGGAGAGAAGGGAACTCTCATATACTGCTGGTGGGAGTGCAAACTGGTGCATCCACTATGGAAATAAGTATGGACATTCCTCAAAAAATTAAGAATAGAACTACCATATGATCAGGTTATCCCACTGCTGGGTATTTATCCAAAGAACATGAAAACACCAATGTGTAAAGATATATGCACCCCTCTGTTCATTACAGCATTATTCACAATAGCCAAGACTTGGAAGCAACCTAAGTGCCGATCAAGGGACAAATGGATAACGATGATGTTGTATAGATACACAATGGACTACTACTCAGCCATAAGAAATGATGAAATCTGGCCATTTGTGACAACATGGATAGACATTGAGGGTATTATGCTAAGCAAAATAAGTAAGAGGGAGAAAGTCAAATATCATATGATTTCACTCATAAGTAGAAGATAAACACAACAACAAAAACCCAGAGACAGAGATTGGATTGGTAGTTACCAGAGGGGAATGGGGGAGGGAGGAGGGCAAAAGGGATGATTAGGCACATGGGTGTGGTGTTGGATTGTAATTAGTATTTGGGTGGTGAACATGATGTAATCTATACAGAAATAGAAGTACAATGATGTACTAAATTTATACAATGCTGTAAACCAATGCAACCACAATAAAATAGGTAGGTAGGTAGATAGATAAAAATAAAATATAAATCTGGCATAAAAAAAGGAAAGTCTTTTCCACTTGAGGTACATCTTCCACAATCTCCAGTGATTGAGGCACCCACTTCACTGGGCAAAACATACAAGGATCAATGAAAAACTTGCAAACTTCTTGGAACTAGCACTGCTCCTATCACCCATTATTATCAGGCAAGGTCTGGAGAACTAACGGCTTTAATATCTTTCCAGATTTAAAGAAATCTCTTCATTTAAGCTATCAACAATTTGGTAAGATATACTTTTGACAAAAAAGATAAAACATGACTTTTTCTCTCTACTTTATCCCTCAGAATTCGGAAACCCTCAGTCAATGTTCTTAATTCACTTATATAAACAATCAGGCCAAGTTTTAATATAAAAAAATTAGTTTTACTGCAATCACCTTTAGTAAACGGCAGAGGTAATTGTAGAAAGAAAGATTATGATTGCACCTTTGCAGATTTTAGAATCTAGTCCTATTAATTTTATATGAGGTTTTGTTATACACCCATAGACTGGACTCCTCTGGCCTAAGGGATTTCCTTTGGTCATGTTGACTGTTTGCAGTACCCCCGTTAGAAAACATAAACTTACTCTATATGAGATAGTCACTGGCAGAACAATGTCTATTGGTATACAACCTTCTGCTGATCCCTTGTTGTCTCATGCTACTATGACCAGATACTGAAGTCTCTAATGTCTTATGCTCAAACCTATCATCAACAGATTAAAGAACCTTTCCCAGAACCCCATTTAAAGCATCCTGTTAGTCACACTCTAGAGCCTGGTGAATGGGTATTCTGGAAGCATCATCAGAGGAAGACAGCCCTCAAACCCCATTGGAAGAGACCATACCAAGTTCTCCTGACCACCGACACTGCTGCAAATCTTGAAGACATTGTATAGGTCTGACATCTGATCATGTACAAATACTGGAGACCTCCAAATCAAATTGAATAGGAAGAGCAGTAGCTGACATAAATGTAGACTGCTTCTACCCAAGATGCCAGATCAAGACTTCCTACTTTAGCTAAATACGAAACCCTTTTCTTCTTTTCTCTCTTTCTTTCCTTTACTCTGGCATGAACCTGGAAAGATGATGTCTTCACCTGTATTGCCCAGGCCATTCCTAAGGGGGGTAAACTATGGAATTTAGAACAAATTTTTATTTCAGGCTAGGAGAAAATTCTAACTGGCTCCTGGCTTGAACAGGCAAGAGCAACAATTCTTCTGAATGAATCCAATAATGGTGCCACCTTAGTGGAAGTAGTTTGTGACTCAACAGGATGTATCTATGTGTGTGATGGTTATCATTTGCCTTGGACTTAAGAATGCCTAGTGGCTGGCACACAGCTGGGCAATGCCTCTTAGGTTATCTAACTATGCCCATAACTATTCTAGATAGGGCCTACCAGGATGCATTCATTAATTCAAAATTAGCTCCTTTCAACAGGTCCCTATTTCTCTAGCTAGAAGTGAATTTAAATGAGGCAGTGATTAGAAACCTCTCCTTAGCTCTCGAAAATATTACTGAATCTGCTGTTAAAGCAATAGTTGCTCAACAAAAATTCTTAGAGTCTCTGGTTGCTCTTGATAATATATTAGCCCTTGATTTTCTTTTAGCTGAGCAAGATGTCTTTGCTGTGGCTGACACCACCTGCTATACCTGGAACAACACTCTTGGGGAAGTTGAAACTCAATTACATGTGATCATTGAGGGAGCTACTTGGCTTTAGTTGGTCACTCCTTCAATGAGTTCTTTCTTTCTTTTTTTTTTTTTTTTTAATTTTTTGTTTATTGCAGTAACATTGGTTTATAACATTGTAAAAATTTCAGGTGTACTTTCTTTAATGGGTTTGGTCTCAGAGACCATGGCTCCAAAGTGCACTCCAAACATTGAGAATTATCCTGCTTATTGTAATTATAATAATCTCTCTGGCATGTTATGTTCTGTCAAGGGCTTTAAATGCATGTTTGCAGGTACTAACAACCATGCAAATGATTTCCCTGAGACTGGAATGTCAGAGAAGGAACAAAGAATAACCAACTTAAGGACTCTGAAAGTGAAGATATGTCCTATAAATATCACAGGGATTAAGCAAAAACATCATGACTTGCAAATATCACACAGATGATCAGAAAAAGCCATGAGAACTATGGAGCGGTGGCTGAGAATGGCACTAATGCCTTCATTTTTTATCACATCTCTCACTTCGATTGACAGTTTTAATCAACTGAAGATAATTGGTAAAAGTAAGAAAAATCAAACATAAAATGGCCCCCATGACAGCAAGCCAAGACCTAATTACACTTTCAACCCTCCCAGGAATGTGACCTTTAAACAGTCACTCTGAAATTTCCTGAGTTACACAAGTAAGGTAATCTGCATGATAAAACCCATGCCAGTTCCCTTTCCCCCAGTAAAGAAGACGTTCTCACCCAAAATAACCCTTTCTTTTCTGTTCCTAGAGATTTACTTACATTATAAAAACTTTAGATTCTGTAGAACTCTTCATAGTGCCCTTCTAGTAGCTGGATGGGATCCTGCTTGATTTATGAATTCCTTAGGGAAGCCAATTACCACTTCAAATTTACTCAGTTGAATTCTGCTTTATAACAGATGGTATGTGAATTACATCTCAATAAAGCTGTAAACAAAGAAATTTTTAAAAGATGATTTAGTGCTAATCCATAGTGCTATGACATTTGATCCCATATTTTCTCCTCAATTCTTCTCTAGCACATTGTGCATGTACCAAATAGTAATTTTATGACATCAGAGTGTAATTATTTATCTGCTTCTCCCTTACTCACTGGAGTAGAAGCCATGAAGTCCTTGTCTGAAACATTGTTTTTATTCCTTGACTTAGCACAGACATGGTCCTCACAAATGTTGTCTGGATGAATCAATAAACCACTACAAATACGCCTCTATATGAGCTTACCATTGGTTTAACCTTCTGCCCTCCATCACTGCCCAATCTACCCCGATTTCAAGTAACATAATTTCTGTGTGAATTTGTGGTATGATTTTTAACTAAAGCAGAATGTCAGTTATGAAAAGGAAAGGATTGCCCCATATTTCACTTGCTTTATTTAACTCATGACTGTTTTCATTAACTCTATTAATCAAAATTCAGTAGTAAACAAGTAAAATGCTTTCTCATCTTTTCAAAGGAAAATCAAAAAGCATTTCCTTTTGAGTCTCACCAGTTAAATTTTCTGGGAAGAATTTCATACTGTAGCAGGTTCATTTTAGGTTGTTTACTAAGATTCTATAGATTAAAGTCCAATGCTGACTTTGAAGCATTGCTGAGGACAAGAATTTTACAAAGTAGATCTTTAACAGATTTAATTGTCAACTGTTGGAAGTACTTCAGCAAAATATTTCTCTCTGTGACTAATGAAAACAGCTATCTACCTGACCCTAACACAATTTGGAGAAACATCTTCCACGACCCTGCTTTGAAGATGAGATAGGGCCAATTGAGGAGAAAGTGTTGTCATCACACATTTAGTGTGACATGTAAAAGGAAATATTTTCTCTCCTTGAACTTTTATAGAGACAGTCATTTTGCCTCATCTTTGGGATCACCTCTTCAGCCTCAATGGTTTTTAAGGACCTCCTGGATCAAGTTGGAGGCCTGGGGAGATTCCAGATCATTCAGATGGTTTTCATTTGTATCTCCAACATCATAGTATACCCTCATATACTATTGGAGAACTTCACTGCAGCAGTCCCTGGTCACCGCTGCTGGGTCCACATACTCGACAATGGCACTGTCTCTGCTGATGCTACTGGGATCCTCAGCCAAGACACCCTCCTGAGAATCTCCATCCCACTGGATTCAAGCCTGATGCCAGAGAAGTGTCGTCGTTTCCGCCACCCCCAGTGGCAGCTCCTTCACCTGAATGGGACCTTCCCTAATATGAGTGAACCAGACACAGAGCCCTGTGTGAATGGCTGGGTGTATGACCGAAGCTCCTACTCCTCCACCACTGTGACTGAGGTAAGAGTCCCCATGGAAGTCCTGTGAGTACATGGTGTGGATGTTTATAGGTAGAACACATAATGAAGATGTTTCAAGTCTTTAGTCACTACATAGGTGCTCATTCTTCATTCTTTCAGCAAATAGTAATTGCTTCTCTATTAAATGCTTCACATTTAAATAAATGATGACACTATTGAATTCAAAATAGACACGAACCCTGTTATTCTAGTGCTTTCATTCTAGGAAAGAACCCAGTTTAAGCAAGTAATTGAGGTAATGTGTTAAAAATGTTTTGCTAAGTCAGTAATGCTTACCATTGGTTGCAAATTATAAATATTTGGGAGATTGATGAAAACCTACCAGCTCAGACTGTACCCCAGAGAAGTCATGTAAGAAGGTCTGTGATTAAATTCAGGCATGAATAACATTTTAAAACTCAAGTAATTGTGCTCTATGGCCAAGATTAAGAACAAGTTATCATGGAATAAAACAGAGCATTAGTAAAACCTACAGTTTTAGAGGAGGCGTCCAGAAAAAAGTTATCTTTAACTAAATGAGAATGTCAGGTAATGTAGAAAGGGAAGCTGGAAAAGAAGATAGGGGTCTGATGTACTAAAATTTGCAAGTAATGCTAAAGGGTTCCAATGAGGGGTTATAAGCTGCCATGGAGCTCTCCTTTGCAAATTTCCTTCTCTTCCAGTGGGACCTGGTATGCGAATTTCAGTCACTGATCTCAGTGTCTAAATTCTTATTCGTGGCTGGAATGCTGGTGGGAGGCATCATATATGGCCATTTATCAGACAGGTGAGTGTCTCTGGATCACAGCTCTCTTTCCCGAGTATTTTCATCATTTCATGAATAATTCTTTCCTTCAGCAATAAACATTGTAAGATACACTGCCTTGGTCTCCAGTGTTCCAGAAATACAAGTGGGGAATTAATCAGTGTGGTGAGTGCTATTTTTTCAACACTGAGCTTGATGTACAGGACACAGCAATGACATTGCCATCAAATCTGAAACCACATCAGAACAAGATATACAGAGGAGGTTCTGTAACATGTGGTTTGGAAACATGAGAAAGTGTTACCTATGGGAATGCTGAGGAAAAAGTTTCATGGATGAGATTCAGCCTGTTTGAGATACAGGTATGGAAATCTTCTGTGTTGGCCTTGACCACGTGTGCCGTGTTGAGTCCTCCCTGGAGCCTGTGAGCTGAATGGTTGTGGCTTCCCGGAGAATAGTCATCACAGTCTACTTGCCCTAGTGTGATGAGTAGATTTTGCTATAAAACCTGTCAGGTATAGAGCAATGTGTCCTTGGTGGTGTGTTGAAAAATTATGTCAGGAACCTTGATTTTTGTGTTTGCAAAAACAGGTTTTTAAAGGTAAGTTTTGCAATAGTGTAATGTAATTAATCGAATCACAACTTCTGTCACAGTTTGTCATGTGAGAAGTTCGGGGTATTCTGTGCCAGACAGTACCTCTTCTGAAAGAGACCTTTTCTGAAATCATTGCCAACACCAACCATGTCTCTCCTGAGAGAGCTGGAGGGTATGAGTTGTCTCTTGCCATTTGCCAGCATAATACTAACTGCTGTCTCAACTGAGAAATGTGAACACTAAATATATCACAGTAAATGTAACATATAAATGAGTTCAGAGTCAGAGTGTTCATTTTTAGCCACTCAGTAACCCAGCCTTCTGTGACAGTGTCTTGAGAAATTCTTGATATATCAATTTTTATGGATCACAGGGTAGTAAAGGCAGGGGATGGGAAAGGTCTAGTAGCAGATTACAGTGGAGAACTGGCTGAAATTGAGGGGGAAAAACAATGTAAGGATTTATTTACTTTGTTTTATTTTATTTTTTGTGAGGAAGACCAGCCCTGAGCTAACATCCATGCCAATCCTCCTCTTTTTGCTGAGGAAGACCGGCCCTGAGCTAACATCTATTGCCAATACTCCTTTTTTTTTTTTCCATTTTTCTCTCCAAAGGCCCAGTAGATAGTTGTATGTTATAGTTGCACATCCTGCTAGTTGCTGTATGTGGGAGGCTGCCACGGCATGGCCGGAGAAGCGGTGCGTCAGTGCACGCCTGGGATCCGAATCAGGGCCGCCAGTAGAGGATTTTGAATTTCATCAGAAACCTGAGAGGAATAACTAAAGGATTATGTGTAGGAGAGGGGCATGAACAAATTGATACTTTTAAAATAACACCCTCAACTCTTCATAATATCCAAATACTTGAAAAAATCTAGGGTCTATTAATAATAGAATAAGCTGCAGGATATTAACATAAAGAATTAATATACAGCAAATGGAATGAACAAACTACTTTATTCAGTAACATGAATGAATATCAAAACTATGTAGTTGAGCAGAACAGCAAAATACAAATGATTGCATACTGGACGATTACATTTTGGTAGAGTTGAAAACAGGCAATCTCTACCATGTTGTTGGAAGTCAGAAAATTGGTTCTCTTTAGAATTTTATCAGGTTTGCCTTGACTCTACAGAGCAGTTTGAATTAAACAGCCATTTTTAACATATTGAATTTTCTGATCGATGACTATTATGGAGCTCTCTTTTTATTTAGATTTTCTTTAATTTCCTTTTTCAACATTTATAGTTTGTAGAAACAGTCATGCATTTTTTCCATTAAATTTATTTCTAATTAACTTTCTAATTAACTGGTTTTTGAGGCTATGTAGTTGTTTCTTGTAACTTTAATTTCTAATTATTCATTGCTGTTATTTAACAATGAAATTGACTTTTACATACTGACTTTACCAACTGCCATCATGATAAATTTACTTTTTAGTTCTTGTAGCTTTATTCTAAATTCCTTGTAGTTTTCTACAGCACTACCTTTTCATTTGCCAGTAAGGATACTTTTACTTATTATTTTCTTATCTTTTTCCTTTTACTCTTTTTCTGTCAACAACTAGAACATTCACTATCATGTTTAATGAAAGTGGTGAGAGATGGTAATGTCTTGTCCTTTTCTGAACTTAGGTAGAATGCATTGATCCTTTCAAACTTGAGTATAATGTGAGCTATAGGATTATAGTCGATGCCCTTAATGAGATTTAAGAAATTTTCTTCTATTTCTGGTTTTCTGAGTATTTTATTTAAAAAGATTTTGACATGCAATAAGCACTGCTGAACACATACTATAGACCACCTAAGACCTGAAAGAGAAGCTTGGTTGAGACCCTTTGGGAAATTAAGACTTTCAAAAACAGCCATACATAAGGGGGAATTTAGAAAGCCATGTAGAAGGCCAGGCAAAGCACATGCTCAGCAAAGACATGGGAACGACTAAGGCTTTTACCTCAGGTTGATAGCTACCCACAGTGCAAGCCTAGCTAAGTCTTTAAGGAGTGTCTAAAAACAGATGCAATCTAGAAACACTGGGAGACCCCTGGGCACTCAACAAAATCTAAGTGCAAACATCATTGAACATAAGCTAATAGTTTTGCAATGTAGTTTGGACATGTCTGAAAAAAAAATAGACTACTAAACCCTTCAAAAATTTAAAAAAGAATGAGCAAACCATGGGGAAGAAAGGATACATGATTTCCAGAGTTACCACATTACAAATTTCAAATGCTCAATTTTCAACAACAACAACAAAGTATCAGAAGGCATGCAAAGAGACAGGGAAATATGGCCCTTAAAAGGGAAAAAACGACTTGAAAGAGACTGTTCATGAGTAAGCCCAGAAGTCAGACATTCAGACAAAGGCTATAAAATAACTGTCCTAAATATGTTCAAAAAATTGAAGTAAAACACGGAAAAGGAGCTAAAATAACTCAGAAAAATACTACAGGAACAAAAAGAGAATATCAACAAAGTGATAGAAATTCTAAAAATGGAAGCAAATAGAGTTTTTGGAGCTGAAAAGTATAACAAATTGAAATTTTCTTTAAAGGGATTCAACAACAGTTTTGAGCAGGCAGAAGAAATAGGGAACATGAAGATAGTACCATTGACATTATTGACTGTGATGAACAGACAGAAAAAAGAATGAGGAAAAGTGAACATGGCCTAAAGGACTTAGGGAACACAGCAAGCAACCCAGGTACTAATTATGGGAGTCTCAAAAAAAGAAGAGAGAGAAAAAGGGGCAGAGACGTTATGTGAGAAACAATGTAGAAAACTTCCCAAGTTTGATGAAAGATATCAATTTACAAATCACAGAGCCTCCAGGAAATCCAGGTAGGATGAACTCAAACAGACCCACACTAAGACCCAATATAATCAAAACATCAAAAACCAAAGACAAAGAGAGAACCTTTGTTTTGTTTTGTTTTGTTTTTGCTGAGGAAGATTCACCCTGAGCTAACATCTGTTGCCAGTCTTCCTCAATTTTGTATGTGGGCTGCCACCGCAGCATGACCACATATTGACATGTGACGTAAGTCCATGCCTGGGAACCGAACACAGGCCACCAATGTGGAGTACACCCAACTTAACCACTAGACCACTGGGGCTGGCCCAAAGAGAAAATCTTATAAGCAGCAAGAAAGAAGCAACTTGTCACATACAAGGGATCCTCAATGAAATCATTTGTTAATTTCTCATTAGAAACTTTGGAGGCCAGAAGGCAGTGGGATGATATTTTTAAAGTGTTGAAAGAAAAAAAATGTCAAACAAGAGTTCTATATCTGGCAAATGGATCATTTAAATATAAGTTAAATTTAAGACACTTACAGATAAACAAAAGATGGTGGAGATCAATATCACTATAATTACTCTACAAGTAATGCTAAAAGTGGTCCTTCAGCTTGCAATTAAAGGGCACTAGACAGCAGCTCAAAGAAGAAATAGATATAAAGAAAAAAGTCATCTGATAATGGTAAATACATAGGCAAATATAAAACCAAGTATTATTGTGATTTTGGTGTGAAAATTTACTTTTTATTTTCTAAAGAACTTAAATGCATTAAAAATAATTTTAAATCTATGTTTAAGTATATAAAGATGTAACTCATGATATCAATATCATAAACAGGGGGAACATATAGCTGTGTAAATGTAGAGACTTTAATGCAATTCAAATTAAGTTGGTATCAATTCAAATTAGACTGCTATAACTTTAGGATGTTATACAGTAACTACAGAGAAAATATCTATAGAGTATACATAAAAGGAAGTGATAAAGGAAACAAAGCATGTCACTGCAAAAACATCAACTAAACAAAAAAGAAGTCAATAATAGAGGGAATGAAAAGCAAAAAAGCTGTAAGACATTCAGAAAACATAACAAAATGGCAGAATTAAGTCCCTCCTTATCATTAATTACCTTAAATGTAACTAAATTACACTCTCCAGTCAAAAGGCAAAGATTGGCAGAACGGGTTAAAAAAATAGGATCCAACTATATGCTATCTATAACAGACTTATTTTGGACCTAAAGACACAAATAACTTAAAAATGAAAGAATGGAAAAAGATATTTCATGTAAATAGTCACCAAAAGAAAACTTGGTTGACTATTCCTAATATCGGATAAAATAGATTTTAACTGAAAAACTGTTGTAAGGGCCAAAGAAGGAATTCATATGTTGATTTTAACAAAGTCAATTAAACAAGAATATATAACAATGATAAACATAGATGCACAAAACAACAGAGCCCAAAACATGTGAGGCAAGCACTGACAGAGTTGATGGGTGAAATGGACAGTTCTATAATGACAGTTACATAATTCACTAATGCACTTTCAATAATGCACAGAACTGCTAGACCAAAGAGCAACAAGAAATAGAAGACTATAACACTATTAAAACAACTAGACCTA